CTGTAGATGGAAGAGTTGGAAACGGGTTTCATATATAGGATGAGAATTTATTTTGAAGTTTCTGGTAAATTAAAAAGAATACAGATTCCTAAAATGATAAAATTTATATAATATATATATGCTGCTAATTAACTTTTAACTTTAGTTCAACGTTCAGAGTGAGAGTTCTGTGATGAGTTAAACTCAAAGCAGTCTGCTCCTCAGATAAATAATGTTAAATTATTGTTTTAAAATATGAATGTTTCTGTTAACTTATACAGTGAGGAAAATGAGCATTTGAACACCTTGCAAGTTCTCCCACTTAGAAATCATGGAAGGGTTTGAAATGTTCATCTTAGGTGCATGTCCACTGTGAGAGACATAATCTAAAAACAAAAAAATCTAGAAATCACAATGTATGATTTTTTTTATTAATTTCTTTGTGCGTTACTGCTACAAATAAGTATTTGAACACCTGCCAATCAGCAACAGTTCTGGCCCTCAAAGACCTGTTAGTCCTCCTCTATAAAGTCCACCTCCACTCCACTTATTATTCTAAATTAGAAGCACCTGTTTGAGGTGGTTAGCTGCATAAAGACACCTGTCCACCCCACACAATCAGTAAGACTCCAACTACTAACATGGCTAAGACCAAAGAGCTGTCCAAAGACACCAGAGACAAAATTGTAGACCTCCACAAGGCTACAGGTGAAAAAAGATGAACTGTTGGAGCAATTATTAGAAAATGGAAGAAGCTAAACATGACTGTCAATCTCCCTCGGACTGGGGCTCCATGCGAGATCTCACCTCGTGGCGAATCAATGATCCTAAGAAAGGTGAGGAATCATCCCAGAACTACACGAGAGGAGCTGGTCAATGACCTGAAGAGAGTCAGAGCATTGAAGATGGGTCGTGGCTGGGTCTTTCTACATGACAATGACCTGAAGCACACAGCCAAGAGAACCAAGGAGTGGCTCCATAAGAAGCATATCAAGGTTCTGGAGTGGCCTAGCCAGTCTCCAGACCTAAACCCTATAGAAAATCTTTGGAGGGAGCTCAAACTCCGTGTTTCTCAGTGACAGTGACAGCCCAGAAACCGATGAGAGTGCGTAAGCATGAGCACATCACCCCTGTACTCCGTTCACTTCACTGGCTTCCTGTTTCTGCCTGGATCACTTACAAAATTTATCTGCTCACCTTCCAATGCTTGTACGGTAATGCACCATCTTATTTAAAAGAACTTCTCACCCCTCATTGTCCTTCACGCACTCTCCGCTCTTCCAATGCACATCTTCTTCTCACTCCCAGGTCTCGATCTTGCACAACAGGAGACCGGGCTTTCTCCTGCGCTGCCCCTCGGCTGTGGAACGCCCTGCCTTCATATCTGAGGGCTCCACAGACCGTGACATGTTTTAAAAAGGGTCTTAAAACCTTTCTTTTTACCCAGTTTTTTAATTGATTGCACTGTACTTTTGTTTTTTTATTCACCCATAGTTCTTATTTGAGTATTTTATCTGCATTTTGTGCATTTTAAGTTTTTTTGATGTGTTCATTCTGAGGCGTTATCCTCCTGGTTGTTTTGCTCTCGGTTGCTTTTATGGTTGCTTTTATCCTGCTGCTATCTGATGTTCACTCTTTGTAGCACTTTGAGATTCACTGTGAATGTAAAGTGCATTATAAATAAGTTATTATTATTATTATTATAAACCTGGCTGATCTAGAGAAGATCTGTGTGGAGGAATGGACCAAAATCTCTGCTGCAGTGTGTGCGGACCTGGTGAAAAACTACAGGAAACATTTAACCTCTGTAATTGCAAACAAAGGCTACTGTACCAAATATTAACATTGATTTTCACAGGTGTTCAAATACTTATTTACAGCAGTAACACACAAATACATTATTTAAAAAATCTTACATTGTGATTTCCAGACTTTTTTTTTATTGTCTCTCACAGTAGACATACACATAAGATGAAAATTTCAGACCCCTCCATGATTGCTAAGTGGGAGAACTTGCAAAGTCGCAGGGTGTTCAAATACTTATTTTCCTCACTGTATGAATATTTCTGTTCAGTGCCCTGAGATGACTTCTGTTGTGATATGGCGCTATATAAATAAACTGAATTGAATTAAGTCTCTGATGAACCAATTCTACAAAATCTTCTATATGATCACATGCACTAAAGAGAGAAAAAAAAAACAATCAAAAAGCTGGGCGGACTAACAAAAGAAAAAAAAAAACTAAGAAAAACAGCAGGTAACAGTGATAAACTGCAAAAACACAACACACCAGATTACTAAATACAATCATTTAAATCAAATCAATCTCTAAAAACAATTTAATAACCACCTGTAGCGTCTAATAAGCCAGCACCCAGTCACGGCAAATCCAGAAAAGCGTCAACGAGTGTGGCCCTTCCAGACAAAATAAAATCTAAACAAAACCTCATAAAACAATCTAAAAACCCAAAAGCCTGCAAGCCTACCTGTGGCGTCAAATTACCCCATGCCCAGGCAGTCCCGCTTGTCTTTCTACCCAGTGAAGTTACCACCTGGATTATGGCTTACCCCTCTGCAGCCTCTCCTCTAAGGGGTATCACAAACTGAATCTAGCACTTGAGTATTACCCAGAGTGTCCTTAGGTTAGTTCTGCTTAAGGCTGTGTTGAAGGTGACTCACCCAGATCGTTAACGACCTCCATCTATGAATCACACCCTTATTTCACCCCATGACTCGCCCAACTTAGCAGCCGGAGTTGGATCGTCATTCACAGGGAAAACTCATATTTTACGGTCGCTCACCTTCGGTTGTAGAACTGCTATTGTTATTGATCTGGTTATTTTTTTAGAATCTAGGAATAAGATTTAAGAATTATCTCGATTTGTTTCAGTAAATAAACCTTTCTTGCTTTTCCAGAACACATACTTGGAGATCTGTGGTTTATACTGCTCTTAACCTTATTTTAGGTCATGAGAGCTGACTTGGAAACTGGTACAAAGTAGTAGTGGAAAATACTCAAAACCGTGGTCAACTGAGCATATTTGGCTCGCGCCATCACAGTGGAAAAGGGGCATATGTTAGTAAGTGTGTGTAAACTGCAGCAGTTAGGGGCTGCTTGTATTCAGAGAGGGAGAACGAGGGAGCACTGTTTAAATCATGTCACCTCTCATAAGGCACAGCACAGGTAAAAGAGTTTTGTACTGTAGTTTTTCTCGGGGAATTTAGCTTCACAGCCGGAGCTATAGCACAAAGTGTAACACACTCGTCATACTCCACTTTATAGCGCTGTTTTAAATGGTGAAAAAGGTTTGTTGTGCTTGAACATTTTTGTCGGGACTTGTTTTTGGCATTGTCTACAGAAGTCGTTCTGCTGCACATCTGACAAATTAAATCTGAATCATCTCCAAATAACAGAGCCATTTTTTTTTTCCTGCTCACCAGTTCTGTGACTTGTTCTCTCACCATTTTGTGAGTAATTGTGGCTGCTAAGTGCTGCAGTCAGCTACTCCACCTGGAGAACATGCAGGTAGGGGCTGGGTTTGTAGTGAAGGGGGGGGAAAGCAGCAGAGCCAGCGGATTTTCAAGTAGAACTATATTGTTTATATCGATATAATGTCAATTTATATCCCAAATAAAATTAAGTAGATATTTTAAAAATATTGAGATATCACCCAGCCTCAGCAACCATCACATCCACCTCTTGGGCTAATGGAAGGAGATCCACAAGGACCGGGCTACTTTGACAATCTCCGGTGGTTCCCTGTCACTGCCCCCTCCCATACTCAATTATATAGACACGCATTACATGATAATGAATTGTTCGAGCAATACATGATGCATCTGTGAAGTGTTATGAGGGTTTTTTATTTTTTTAACTGGTTTACTGGTTATTTATTCATTTAATTCATTCATTTATTTATTCATTTAATTTTTATTAGTTTTTCCTGTCCATGGAAATTTTCCTAATATATGCATATAGTTGTATTCACTGTTCTTGCGTACAACCAATAATCACAAACTAAAGTGGTTTCAGCATAACATGGGCATTTTCAAATCTAGTGACCAGTGCTTGGACCTCAGGCTCAGGTAATTGGATGTACTGGTATTATGGACCCAGGTTAACAGAGATAGCATTACAGGTTTCTCTGATGGTAACGGACATAGCAGCTCGTGACAAATCAAAAGTGTTGGCTGTTTTTTGGATTCTTCCCTCGTCATTTTAACAATAAAGTTTACAGGCCACCTTTTTAAGACATCAACCGGCAATTTCATGGTTGTCCGTTACCCCTCAATGTAAGGGTGAAGTTCCTCACTCAAAGTGACAATGGATGGCTTCGACAAACGAAAGTTCTCCCTTCATTCTTTCTCATCAATTACATTGTTTACAAAGTTATCCCACCACTGGCTTGTCCTCCCAGGTCGCATCCAGTAGCGCCTCCTAGCCGTGTTTTTTCTTTGCATTAAGTAACAGAGTGGAGCTGTATGAGATCCGTCTTGGATGATTTAAGTAAAGAGGTAGAAAATGAGCACTGTGTTGGAGAGCCGTAGTTAGATTTATAAGTCAGAAGCACGAACAAAACTCAGCTATTCGCCATTGTTGATAGTTTCTTCTTCTGTGGATTGTAGGAAGTCATCATGTTTTGCGTCATACTGCACATGCGCCAGGATTCCCTGACAGAAAATATCTAATTTTTCTGTTTACACAACAAAAGACACCGGAACGTTTTTGAACCATTGCACTCTGGAACCCGTTCTCAAAATGTGCCATTCTCAGAGAAAACATTGGCCATTTTCATGTAAATGAACAGTGCAAACACAACAAAACTCTTCCATTTTCACCAGAAATCATTTTCGTGTAAACAAGGCCTTAGTAATTAAATCTTTACAAACTGAGAAGGATGCCTTAGCTTTATGCTCCAAAGGGGGCTAGGTTTTCTTACGTTTGTCAATTAGTATCAAAAGAACTCTACGCCTACTGGCACACCTAATTAAAGAAAATGTTTTCTTCTTCTTTCTGCCAGTACTTGCCATGGAGAGACAGCAGATGTAATCTATTGCTGTGAAGTCTGCCAGCAGACGTTTGCTCACCGCAGCAGCCTCAAGCTCCACGTAAAATACGTTCACAGCACTGAGAAGCTTTTTGAGTGTGACACTTGTGCAAAGACCTTTAAACGAAAGAAGGATGTTGCCCAACATAAGAGACAGGTGAGGTGTAAATCTTTGCGCACTTCCTTTATATTTTCTCAAAGTCATACTGTTGGGTGATTTCAGATCAATTTAAAGCAGAAATGTGTCCCAGGTGCATGAACAAAAACAGCAATACGTGTGCCCTGATTGTGGGAAGACGCTCAGCTCCAAAGCTACTTTGTCATTGCACGAGAGGACGCACACGGGCATCAAACCCTACGAGTGCACCAAGTGTCAGGTCAGATTCACCCAGAAGTCTGCCCTCAATATGCATCTAAGGTAAAACTGTTCTTTGTCACTTAAACTAGCTGCTTTGTTGTAAAACAAGTTGAATGTTTCTTCTTATGCCTTTTCCCAAAGACTTTATAAAACAAGACGTGGTAGTATTGTGAGAGGAAAGTCGAAAGATATTGGCAATCGTTTTACCTCTTGGAAGATATTTTATTTTCAGCAAACTACAAAATAATAACTTTTTACTTACACTTGAACAGTTGTAAACATTTATTTCACATTAATATAATATATATTAAGTGTATCCTGATGAGTGACATAGTTGAGAGCTAAATATCTGTGTTTTATCCTGTATAGGACACACACTGGAGAGAGACCGTTTGCATGTAATGAATGTGATGCCCGCTTCACTCAGAAGCAGAAGTTGGCCTATCACAAGAGAACACACTCAGGTTAAAGAGATTTCAGTAATCTTTGACGAGGATGGTAAAACATTGTATTTGTTACATTTCTTCTTGCTGTAGCACAATCAAAACAATAAATATATAAGAAGGTAGCTGTCTACCAAGCATTAATCTTTTTATTATTTTTGCATTTCCTTTTAGGATTAAAGTCCTTCATGTGTAACATCTGTGGGAAAAGTTTTGGGTCTAAAGAATACCTTAAACACCACTTAAACATCCACACTGGCTCCAAGCCTTTTAAGTGTGACACTTGTGAAAGAAGCTTTGCTCAGAGGAACTCCCTCTACCAGCATTTAAAAATACATACAGGTAAGACATTTACTTTTATATGTTTAAATGTACTTTTAAGTTATTGAGTTCCTCCTGTTAACAATAAAACAAACGCGTTCTGTAGGTGAGCGTCCGTACAAATGTACAGTATGTGGTAAACAGTTCACTCAGATCAATGCGCTCCAGCGGCACCAACGGATCCACACGGGAGAAAAACCTTTCATGTGTGCTCTCTGTAAACGAGCTTTTACTGACCAGTCCACCTTTCGCAGGCACACTTTGGTGAGTTGCTGCTTCATCCTTTAGTACTATAACATTGAACGGTATTTTGTACTCTAGGCAGCACGATGGCACAGTTGGTAGAGCTGCCACCTCTCAGCGAGCAGGTCACCTAAGTTCAAATCCTGGCCGGGAGCCTTTCTGGGTGGAGTTTGTATGTTCTCTCCGTGCATGTGTGGGTTTTCCCCAGATACTCTAGTTTTCTCCCACAGCCCAAAAACATGCATGTTAGGCTAATTGGTAACTTTAAATTGTCCCTAGGTGGTAGTGTGTATGGATGGATGGCTGGAGTAAGTTTGACTGAGGTAGAAGTAGTGCCCCTTTAAAAGAGGGAACAATATTTATGCCATTAGGGCTTGACATAGTGAATACTAGTGCATGTTTATTATTAGCTAATTGCACATCAATTCATCATACTGTTGTTAAAATGACACCAACTTGTTCAAATTTCAGGTTCATGACATAGAAGCTCCATGGAGGACCTACCTGGTGATGGTGGAGGGAAATATGGAGGAAAAGAAACCAAGGTCTCCCACTGAGGAAAATGCAGAACAAGCAGAACCATGGAAGAAAACTAGCGGAAGTCCAAGTGGTGCTAGCACTGCTCCTGCTGTTTCTGCTCCTGCTGTTTCTGCTCCTGCTGTTTCTACTCCTGCTACCAGTTCTGCTCATGGTGCTGGTACTGCCCAAACTGAAACAACTGTGGTTCCAACTGAGTCGGTCACTCTCCCATCCGACTGGACCAGTCATGGAGCCATTGCTCTCGTCAACGATGGTGCTCTTGGCGATATCACTGTCGTCCACACTGAGGTTCCAGCAGGGACGGAGTTCCAGCCCATAATAGGCACTAACAACACAGGAATGAGCGTCATTTCCTTAGACGGTTCAGCCATCCCTGTGCCCTTCTCTTTACCAGTATCAGTGACTCAGCCTGTCTCTCTGTCCTCTGAAGCATATTCCACATCTCTGTCTCTACCCACTCTCTCAGTTCCTGTCTCTGATACTTTAACGTCAGTCTCTGGCATCTCAACTGTCTCCACTTCATCTATGTTCAAAGCAGCTGTATCTCAAGCTCATTTGGCTTCACATTTAGAAAACAAATCTAACCCTGCAACTGATCCTTTACTACCAGATACACATATTTAAGGGCAGCGCTTCAAACGAAGTTTCATATTCCATGCATTTCCGTCTACCCCTTTTGGACAGCTATACTGGAATGTATTTTTTGCTGCTGTGCAATGACAAAGTTTTTTCTGGTTCTGATACTGTGGTTGTTGGTGACAAGACTATGGGGAAAGAACTGGATGTTGTTAAAAGTGATGGACAACATCAGACAGCAAACAACCCCTTAGGTGAAAAAAAAAAACCCAACACAGCTCAAGTAACAGATTGATGTATTCCTAACTTGTTTTTAGTAATGCAATAAAAAGACAAGTATAACTAATTGTCTAATTATTATGAGGCAACACGCAGTAGAGCTGTCATTTCTAACCGGAACCCGACCCGGTTTAGGGCCGGGCCATATTTTAATGGGCTCTGATGTGGTTTTACGAATCATACAGTACAAATAAAACTAAATAAGAAATGCACAATATAAAATTGTGTAAATCTACTTACAGGAGGAGGAAGTAAGTTTACTGAGGAGGAATGGAAATAAAATAGAGTGCAGAAATTAATCAGAAAAGAGAGTAGCGCTGGTAGCACATTGTGCAGCGATTACTATCTTCGTCTCAGGGTTTAGCACCCCTCCAGCCCTCGTCTAACCGATAATTGGACCCCCCTAAACCCTGAGTATTACCCAAACAATACTACGGTCAGGCTCTCTTAGGCTGAGTTCGAGAAAGATTCAACCAGGCACTAACAACCTTCATCTGCAGGATGCACCCCTATTTCACCTCACAGTTCTTAGAGTCAAGTAGCAGTGACCCCAAAGTTTACCATAATGTACCTGCATTATGGCCACTCTTTCTCTATTTGACATTTCGTAATTGGTACATGACCTGGTAATTTTCCTAGGCCAGGACAAGCTGACCATATTCTGGGATGCTGTTCAAAAATCAAACTAAGTAACCAATCAAAACCTTCAAAAATCTCAGAATCAGGTACACTTTCTGATTAAGTTCAGCAATGAGCGTGTATCATTCAGATGCCATCAGGAAAATAAGTCCAACACTCTGGTTTTCATGCTTTTGTGTTTTTAATCATAAATTTGTATAAGGTTACATTTGTAGCTTTCAAAAATCCAGCAACAGTGCAAGCAAATGCATTTCTAAAAATGCAGTATATTGAATGAAAAAAAAAAAAAAACGGGTGAAAATCTAAATTCCTGTAGGTGTGGCTGCACCAATCTCTTATAATAGTCTCTTATAATTGGCCTACGCCCTAACTGTGCTGTCCCTAAGAAAAACCACAAAATTTATCCTGTAATTTTGAAATCGGGTAAAAAGGTTCATAAAGGCTGGTTTCTACTGTATATCCCATGATTAGATTGGTTGTCCAGGAAAAAGGAGAATAATTCCTAGTCTTTGTTGAAAACGGTCATCAAATGTGATTAATTCCAATCAGAGACTTGTTCAGAGGTACCTGGGGTCAGTCCTCTTGAAGGGTGATCATGTGCTGCTGAGCGGTTCTTCATTGCTTTAAGTTTCCACCTTCAGTTCTTGTTTTTTTTTTTTTTTTTCAACTCTTTTGCAGCCAAAATCTTCCTTCTTCAATCTTCAGATCTGATCAAAGTCTTCAGGGCTTGACGACCGTGTTCAATCTCTACCCGAAATGACTGACCGACCTTCGTCTGCTAACTTGTCTTTTTAAAGTCATCTCTTGTCTGTGATTGGCTCGTTTCTGACCTAATCATCCATTTTGAAAACTTGTCAACCATTTTGAAGACTTTTCAATTGTTCAATAGTTTATCTCCTTTTTTCCAGACTGTGGTTTTTATGCACCAGACTGTCTAAACAGCGTGCTTCCTTTCTGTTGTAAGCTCGTGACAGGTGCTTAGCCTAGCCGTATCTTGGAGTGTTGCAACATCCTCCTATCCGGCAGTGACTTCTATTATTTCTCAACTTTCAACCTTTAATCTTAAACATAAAAAAGTAGTCACTAATGGCAATATAAACTCACTTTTAATCCTAAACATAAAAAATATACTTACTGAAAGAGGTATAAACAGTTTGTGCCTTTGCAGAACAAGACAAGACAACACATCTTATAACAAGATGTGTGTGTGAAACCTAACCACACTGCTGAGTTTCTTGTCAATTGCTTCAAATGACACTTTCTCAGAATTTGCAGCCCCAAGAAGCGACAACATCAGAAGCTGAAGCGACGAGCGCGTTCACATCACCACCATCCAAATAGAGAAGAACAATGCTTTTGCAAAAGCAGCCAGAGTAATGATCAGGTTGCACTGTACATCATGCTATGGCCGATGAACGAGATTTGCTGGGATTTTGGAAACTAAACTGAAATGTGTACCGAAAACTGGCCAAGTTGGCGAGATCTGTGCTCTGCATCCCAGAAAGCAGCAGCGAGTTTTAGCGCAGCTGGCCGCACAGATCAGGACTGCGCTCAAACCTGCTACAGTGGACGCAATATTTTTCTTGACAACATGTAAAACCGTGTAAGTAGAACACAATAACTTCTTGACAGATTTTTTAAATATATTTATAATTTTGTATTTAGGCAACGGGGGTCTAATTCCAGCTTTATTTCACAGGTTCATAGCCGAAGAAATGAGGCTGTGATGCTGATTATATGACTGCATACTACCTGGCGCAAACTGAGCCGGCTGTATAGCTGCTTTTATTTTGTTCATGTTTGTGCAATTCTTATTAATATGTTTTGATAATTTTCATTGTTCTTCATAACTCCCGTTATGGATGTGCTGAAAGAAAAGCCGGAAACTAATTAGTTTCCAGCTTTTCTTTCAGCCCATCCATTGTCTTTACCCGTTGTCTGTTGTTTGTTATAAATATTTTGTTTATTAAAGTATAAGCATTGTTGTGGAATGTAGGTCTTTTCAATTTATTTTTCATGCGCACGCAGTTCTATTCCGTGGTGTAGTGCGAGTGAATGTTAAATCGCTCCGTCGTCAGCCAACGGCGTGACTCAGCTTAATTTCGCATTACTTTTTTTTTTTATTATAGCTACCAGTAAATTAAAGTATCCGTTTTTAATATTTTTTCTAAATAATTTTGATCTAAAAATATTTTTGTTCATCTGTTTAATAGCCTATCTGCAAAGTTGATTTTTTTTAAGCTATTTGTTTTATATGTTAATATCCTGACTTGTTAATAAAAAGAAATCTTATATCTTGCTTTCTTTACTTTTTAAAATTATCATGTCAAACTGATTTGCTTACAAAAGCAGTAAAAGCTTAATTTAAGGTTCGGCCCTCTATAATTACCGGTAATCCGTTTGGTCTGGGTGGGGCTCAGAAAAAAACAAACTATGGACTCGGTCAGGGCCGGATTTTTAATGCCCGAATGCAACTCCAACACGCAGCAAATCTTGTCTTATAATGTAGCACAGTTTTCTGTCATTTGCAACATCATGTTCAAGTCTAGTCACGGATTTTTTATGGCATAAAAATGAAGCATTTTAGAGCCAAATGTCAATATCTCACTGGAGCATGGACGTCAGAAATAGGGGTTGAACGACTACATCATTTTTAAACTCGACATTCACATAATTAAAGTCGAGTAGAATTCGAGTACTTGATGACATCATAGGATCTAACTATTAAGCTGCGAAAGTGAAGAAACGTGCAGCACATCAAAAACAAAACTAAAAACAGTCAGTCGGACGACGACCACCTCGCACCACCGCCAGCTGTGGTGCGCATTAGGTTTAGTTTTAGAGATTAATATGATTAGATTTTTTTTTATAGGTTTAGAGATGAATATTTTTTGCTTTTTGTTTGTGAAACAAGGTCAGAGAAAGCTGGTGAACAGAAATATAAGAAAAAATAAACAAGATCAAGAGTCTGAAATGGAGCAGGTGGACCAAGAAAAGGACAACTCCAAATAAATCAGCGTGCTGTTAGAGGGACTCATAACTATCACAAAAGAAATATGGGACCTCAAAGAAAAAATGAAGGAGGACTTCACGAAATTTAAAGAAGAATTTATTAAATATTCTGGTTTCTTGTTCTAGGAAGATATCTTGGGAGTTTTCAGACTCTTCAATAGGTGGCATCTGACCTTCTGGTTGACTGTCAGTTTCTGATTCCTGCAATTTAGCATCTGAACTTTTTCTATATCTACCTTTGCTCTTCTCTTATGTCATCATCATCAGGTGTCATATCTGTCTGTGTTGGTCTATCTGCAGTTTTTGGTCACAAACTTAACCTGTCTAAACTTTAGCACTTTCTGGAAAGTAAATCCAGTATGCTGGACTGTTCTTATCATAGCCTACCAAAACCCCTTTTGTACACCTAGAATCCAGCTTCCCTTTGTCTTGCTTGTAAGCATTGCATTCACACCCAAACTTTCTCATTCTAGCTAGATTAGGCTTCCACCCTGTCAACAAAAAGTAAGGTGTCTGCGCTGTCCGGTTGTTGAAACATCTATTTCTCACAATAGCTAAAATTAAAAAATAAATGACAAGTTACATACAAATTGCATACAGTATGTCAACAATAAGAGAAATGAGAGAAGGGGACGTGAGGGGGAGACACCCAGAGGTACCAAGCTTCTCCCATCTTTAATCCAAATTTAAAAAGAGGCTGGCTGAATAAGCAGTCTGAACTGAAAACACAACAAGTTAACTGTTAACAAGTTAACTGTTAAAGCTGTTTATAGATAAGGATTCTAATTGTATATTTATTTCATTCTAATATTAACACTGCGTGTTTATGTTATAGTTTAATTGCCAACCTCTCATTTTAACACAGCAGCTGAGATACGTTAAGACAGACTTCTTGGA